AGCTATGTGACCCTGCCTGCCCATTAAATGGTGTGCTCTGATGTCGTAAATAGGAGTGTCAATTGTTAGATCAACAACAGGATCACTGTGCACTTGCTCCCCATGTATGACCTTTGTGCTTAATGTGTTGCACTATGAGAATTAACGGTAAAAGTAGTATTCAAACGGTACTCTATACTTTGTGTGCCTGTGGGTGCAAACTGCTGAAATCTTAGTATAGAGTTGATCTGTATATAATCAAAAATGATCTTAATGAAGAATGAGATGGGAGAGGGAGTAGGAGTAGGGATGGTTTGGGGTGGGATGGCAGATATGGGGGGAAGAACCGCTGTAATCCAAAAGCTGTACTTATGAAATTTGTATTTGTTAAATAAAAGTTTTCTATAAAAAAAAGAAATGTAGCAGTACCATTTATACCACTACATGCTTATTCCATTTGTCATTCTTTATATTTTTCCTTTTGAAAATCTGAAACATATGTATCATTTACTTAATATTTATTATTTATTTTCAGTACAACAAGAAGGCAAATATTTAAACATGCATAAACACAAACACTACATGCAAATAAATATTAGACATTTTGTAAACACTTCAAAAAAGGAGTAGTGACAGGCGCCAGCACTGTGTGTAGTAGGATATTCCTCAGCCGGCAGTACCACATCACATATGGGTACAAGTTCTTGTCCTGGCTGCTCCACTTCTAATCCAGCTCTCCGCTGTGGGCTGGGAAAGCAATGGAGGATGGCACAGGTAGTTGGGCTCCAATCCCTCTGCTAGGTGAGAAGGCTTCTCTGTCCCATTCTAGGGACCCCCAGAGCAGTCACCGGCTCTTCATTTGGATTTTCTTTTACCGCCCCCCGCCCACCGTCTGTCTGTCTTTCCATCATTCGCTATAAGGCTGACTTTCAAATAAATAAATCTTCAAAAAGCAAATAAAATGGAAAGTCCACAGAAAGGCACCCCTCTCCTAACAAACGCGGTATTTTTGAATGATTTTTAAGACAATTTCATCAGCACAAAGAATTCATGGCCACCCCATGAACTGGTCTGCCTGTGATTCTATCCTCCTACCTTTTCCCTTCCCTTTCCTGATTGGTTACTTACTTTCACTCCTCACTATGGGCCAGACCCCAAGTCAGGACCCCAGGCCTAAGCTCTTGCAGGCCTTTGTTGGAAACTCGTGGCCAACATTAAACGGGAGAGTTAACTGGAAGATTTTGGGAAACTGCTGCTGGCGTGTGCCCGTGGCTTGAGGCAGTAGCCATGATCCGTGCATCTGGGAGAAGGTTTACAAAGCTGCCCAACGGCAGGCGGTGAATGCCAACACAAATGCCCCATACACTGAGGCAACTGCTGGAGACCATAGCCGTTGGCCTTAACCCCAATGTGACTGTGAACTCTGGGGTGGCAATGATGTTTCCATTTTAAGTACAGGGACTGGGACAAATGTTCCATTCTAGGGTGGAAAGTCGAATAGTGCAGAATTCTGTGCTTGCTAGTGGGGACAAGGGTTATACGGTGGAATCTATGCACCTTCTGATCTTTTGGTGTGAACCTAAAATTGTACTACAAAAGTAAGTCATAGGGGGCTGGTGCCGGTGGTGCAGTGAGTTCAGCTGCTTGCGTACAGTGCCAACGTCCCATATGGATGCGGTCTGAGTCCCACTTCTTGATCCAGCTCCCTGCTCACCTGCCTGGGAAAACAGCAGATGGCCCACGTGCTCAGGCCCCGCAGCACCAGGTCGCATGGGAGACTCAGATGGGACACCCTGGCTCCAGCCTGGCCCTGCCCCAGCCATTGCAGCCATTTGCGGAGTGAACCAGTGGATGGAAGAACTGTCCTGTCCCTCCCCCTCTCTCTGTAACACTTTCAGATAAATAAGCTTAAAAGAAAAAAGTCATATACACACAGACGTACCCCTCACCTAACAGTTTCTTTAATGGCAAAAAAAAAAAAAAAAAATCCTTCCCTTCAGAAAACGAGGGAGCTACTCAATTGGGCAGCTGACTCATTCCAGGAAGGACAGCTGACTCATTCCAGGAAGGAAGGGGAACGAGCAAAACATTAACCATCACGTCACTAAGTCCATGCTATCCTAACTCCCGTCTTTTCATTCTCTGTTATAAGTCACTTAGATAGCTAAGAGTGAAAACCAGAACTCTCAGCAACGACACTTAGGAACTTACTCTACCCTTGCAGTACGGTCAGAATTCTTTCAAGTGAGGATCTTAATAATCAGATGTAGTTCTTAGACTTTTGTACTGAAATGTGCATCCACCTGGGGAATGAACCAGCGGATTGAAGCTCTCTCTCTCCCTCTCTCTCCCTTCCTCTCTCTGTCTGTCCTGTCTGTCTGTCTTTCCATCATTCGCTATAAGGCTGACTTTCAAATAAATACATCTTCAAAAAGTAAATAAAATGGAAAGTCCACAGAAAGTCACCCCTCTCCTAACAAACGCGGTATTTTTGAATGATTTTTAAGACAATTTCATCAGCACAAAGAATTCATTTCACTGACTTTTCCAAATACACTTTAAATAATTGCATATTTATTGCATGAAATGTATCCACAGAACAATTTGAGGTGTCATTAAATGTAAAATGTATACATTACAAGAGGAAAACCTATCAGAATTAATCATTCTTCAGAGGAATGTGCATCTAAAATTCCACATTCTCACTGATTAAAGCTGAAAAGCAAAGCACTCTAGTTATTTTATGTCTGAAGACAAGTGAGATCATCAGACCATTACATAACAACGTATTCTAATTACAAAGGGGAAACCTATCAGAATTAATCATTTCTCAGAGGAATGTGCATTTGAATTCCGCCTTCTCACCTAATATCAAAGTGGAAAAGCAAAGCACTCTGGTTACTTTTGTCTGAAGACAGCATTGAGAAACTTAAATCATTACATAACAACTTATTCTAATTAAATTATCATAAGTAATAATTATCGTCATCACGAACAAATCAATTTGTTTGTTAAGTTTGTTAACCAAATACTGGCAATCAACACTAAGGCCAGGTGTTATTTACTGGTGGACCAGAACTTCCTTGAATGACACCTTGATGTCTGTGTGGAAAATGACAAAATCAGAAATCCACAGCTTAGCACAGATATCTCGCCAGGTATCTTAATTATGTGTCCCAGCTTAGCTTTTTTCAAACACCCAGAGGTGAGTGTGCTTTTAACTATGCTTGTAAGGCCTTAGAGTAGGGTCTTTTGGAAACAGCATTTGCTTATGAATTGGCTCCATACCATAGGGAGGAAATACAAGACAGTGCACAGGTTACAGTTTGTCTTCTTTACTCCTTCAAGGAAGGACGATGTACCCTCTAGAGGGAGCTCTGCCTTCTGAGACCGACACAGATCCGCTGAGGCCAAACCGAAAACCCTGTCATCCCTACTGCTACACGTACATTGACCGGAGGAGGGAGGAAACTTCACCATCACTACCAAAGAGCCAGAGTGTTATACACGTAACCCCTCCACTGCTGCTGATCACATTACTGTTTAGGGTTCAGGGGGGCAAGAGAAACATGGTCTTGCATTTCACAAACGAACTAGTGACAAAGAAGATGTGCTTATATCTGCGAGAACTTGATTAGTGTAGCTAACGTTGGACTTTCAGACAGAACTTGAGTGGAAGTTCCTTCTTCAGATTCATAGAAGCAGCATGGCTTGCAGAGATTGTTGAATACTCGCCAACTCTTGCTGTGCTCCTTCAAAACAAGGAATGCCGATAATCATTACACACATTTCTGCAAGTGAAATATCCCTCGGCTCGCATCAATCAATCCTTAGATTCAGTATTAAACACAGACTGCTTACAGTTGCAGCAATAATTTTGTTCTTCAAGATGTCAATTTCGTTTTTGAGCTTCTTTTGCTCATCAGTAAGCAGGCTTTGCTGGCTCAGCTCCAAGTCGTTGATACCCTAAAACAGAAACTCGGGTTCAGTCAGAAACCACCACACGTGGCTCATGTTCTAAAAGGGCAAACTGAAATTTCAGGAGTAACACTCAAATATTCAAATGAGCTCACTTTTTTATTTCAAATAAAGAATTGTGATGAATATAGGCAACAAAAGCACCCGCTTGGAAATTTCTCAGAAGTCAGATTTGAGGGCGATGCTGCCACAGGAGGTACAAGAGTTGTACAATGAGTTGGGGAAAATGGGCAGCTGAAGAGTTAAGGGGAAGATGGAGCAGAGACAGAGAAAGACTGGCAGTCCCATGTCAGGTTATGCCATAATTTTCACAGCTAATGACCCACCACTACCACTAGTGCTCCACATAACATGAGTTGCTCAGAGGAACTATAACGGTTTGTTAAATGTCAGCTTCGCGTTCAGGAAAATGTATCGTAGAGTATGTCTGAATCTTTCTCATTCAACAAACAGTGAAGCAGCACATACTAAGAAAATGTACCATGTCGAGTGCTATGGTGTGATACGATCAATGAATACACCGTCTCCTCCATATCCCCGTGACAGGAGCAAGCATCCACGCCGAAACAGCACGATTATCGAAAGGAGGGGAAGGGCAACATGCTGCGGCCACACAGCTGAAGACCGCCAGTGATTCAGTTGGCCAAAGAGCAAGGTTTCAATAGGCAAGGAAAAAGGAGGTACACGTCCTCTCCGGAAAGAACCTAGGCAAAGCCTGGAAGCAATGCTGACTTCCTTCAGGGAAAGCCATCAACCTACAGGGGTGAGAGTCAAGAAGGAATGCAGCAAAGGAAGCTCTCAGAGGGTGGGTCAGCTTGTTCAGGGGTGGGGGCGTCTTGAACCACCACTCGTTTACAAGGGGGAAGCTACAGGGAGGGCTGAATGAGAGAGTGGGCCTGTGTCTTTGGAAGGTGGTACTGTAAGACCTCTGAAGGGGAGGATGGCAGATTCCAGAACTCAGGTGAGGATACAAGCAAGGGAGATTAAAGAAAGCAATGAAAGTGCCACCACCGGAGGTGGGTAAAAACTGCAGGGGACACCGGCCGGGAAGGATGCGGGATTTGGAAGACGCCAAAACCTAGTGCCAAACTTTCTACCCTAACTTTGGTAATACCCAGCGCTGACATTTAGAAGGTATCTTTCTATGCGAGTCTTCACCCCGATTCCCAGATGGACAGCTGGGGAACATGGGAGTTCCATGTCTCTCCACTTGCTAGCTCCTCTTAAATGACCACTTTGTAGACAGAGAATTCTAAGGCCGGTCAAAGATTTATAGTTCAAAGCTCCCTTGAGCAGTTTGCAAAAAAACCATCTCAACCTGTCTAGATGAGCGACGTTTTAATAAGCAGCATCACAAGACTCTTAAAAAGGACATCCTGGAAACAAGACTGCATTGGTTCCTGAACCATGCATACCTGCGGGAAACAAAGGTCAGTGTCTGGGCCATCTCTTACCATTATTATGAAGAAGAACTAAAAGTGACTGTGCCATAAGTATGACAAGATGAACCTCACAGGACATGGTACAAAATAATGGGTACTCAATGCTTACACTTGCTACTTGCTCGATAACAACCAAAACAAAGTCTGTAGAATATCCAGAAAAAAGACATCTGGAAAGGACTGACTTCCATCCTACTTTCCACTGCGTTTACTGCTGATCATCTAAAAATCAGTTGTTCTGCATGAAAGCATGAGAATTGAACATGTTAACAAGCAATCAATACTCTATGAGCACAAGATGCATCTTCCTTGGCAAATTTACAATTTAACTATTCCTGATTTAAATACAGCCCTCCAATCCTACCTGCTTCCCTACTCTCCCCCCCTCCCCGCCGAAATAAAGACCAGTATGGAATTCTAAAATGGAAAGTACATTCACTGGCTGCCTTAAAGATGGAGAATCAATTGAAAGATGCAAAAAGAATAAGAGTCACAATATATATAATGAAAAGCTATTTTTTCCGTAAGTGTGGAAAGAACCACACTGTCTTCTACCACTACATGCACATGGTATTTCTCAAGAATGCATTGTATTACCAAACACAACTGACCTTTAAGAATTCCTCATACAGGTTCTTAACTGTAGTCAGCGTCTCCATTTGAACATTTTTAGCTTGCAGGAAAAGCCTTCGGTGGTCGTGAAGCATCCTCTACAATATTTTTAAGAAGGGATAAAAGTCAGATAAATCTTGACATGTAGAAAACATATACCAACCGACGCTAAGTTTTAAAGACCTGTCTTTAAATCAATACTTGCTAACGAGTTCTGCTTTAACAGCTTTTGTGAACAAATTTAATTGCGTGTGTTCAACATTTCTACACCAAGAACACACACTAATTCTTTCTTTCAGTCATTGAGTGGGAAGCAATTTTCCTTTAACATACGCCTTAGTTCTTGATTTCAAAGTCCACAGAGACTCTTCTCAATAATCAGTCTGCCATGCACTGGTAAAATCCGTACAGTAATCCTACCTACCTAACAGATATCACGTGAGAAACAGTGTTTCTTACCAATATGGAAAGCGTGTATACACTCCTGTTCATTCTGACATGCACATAATGCTGGCCGTCCTGTTCCCTGACCTGCACTCCAGCAGTGCTTTGTCCTCTCCCCCACCTGCTGCACACTTGTGCAGTCGGCCCCTAGATTTTGTTATTCCTGTAAGCTTACTGCGTACACAATATAAATAATAGTGGAATTAGGTTAGAACTCTACACAGTCAGGTGCCTTTCTGAGCCATCCAATGACATCATCCCCTAATCCCTCATTTAATCTCAATGCGTGTCTGAGAGTTAAGTCCTCACCTTAGGCCTCCATTCACCAAAGAAGGAAATCGAGGCAGAGAAACACTTTTCTCGTGGCTTCACAGGTAGCCACTGGTCGGACCAGAGTTGGAGCCACCAGACACCCTGGAACCACTGTACCTTAGTGTTTCTCCATTTTTCCCAACATGTAGCCACGATCGCCCAAACTTTGTGAGTCACTCACGTTGTACCACAGCTGGGAAATCTCTTGGGCCTCACATCATCAAAAGGAACAACTTCTGCTGTCCAGTAGCCCATCCCTGTGGCACCGATTTCCTCAACCCCACCTTAAATTCCACAGTCTGTCACTGTATCTCTGGCCCTGAAGACAGACCTCGCCCCTTTTCTCCCTCTGTCATTGTGCTTGGCTATACCCCAGTCTTGGAAAGGCCCACCTCCCTACCTGCTGTGCTACAGTGACCACAGCTGGTATCGCTTGAAATTCACGATCACCATGACACTAACCTAACTTGGACTTGCAATGCTTCTCGGTAACTGTATTCCACTAGTCCATTCAGCAGCCCGCATCCAGGAAGTATTCCTTGCCTTCTCCCCCTACCCCAAAAGGCAGTGACTGCTCCCCCCACCCACGCTCACGCCTGACTGATGACCTAACAAGCTCACCACAGCCCAAAGGGTCGTGCAGTCTCCCATCATCGCCCCTTCCACCCTCCTTTGTCCATCTGGGCTCATGAGCTCTCATTTCTCTCTGCAATTTCTGCATGAACTGTTGCTACTGGAGACTTTGGCTACAACCGAGTAATCAGTTAAGAGGCCTAGCCTGATACCAACAGTTAGTCTTTCCTGCTGTTTCGCGGTTTTCCGCACACCCGTGTCCCACTCTTCAAAGAAAGTCAGGAACTGCCGAGAATAGCTGTAGCGGGATATTTTGCCTGTAAAACATAGTGATGAGCACAGTCGGATTTCACAATGACATGGAAAATCAACATACGCAAACAAAACCTATTTGACACGCTTTTTTAGTGCAAAGGGAGAAGGGGACAAATAGTAGCTGAAAACTTCTCACGGGAACACAAAAGGAGAAAAGTTTTGTTCTCATTGCCGAGGTGCTTGTTCCTAACTGACTGGTACAGAAGCTGTCTCACACACTTTACCTCTTGAAGCAAGAGGAGGATTGGGTGCACCGTACATTTTCCAGAATATTAATTTTATCTAAAAGTGGTTTACATTCCACCTCCTCCTTCTATCATATGACGTGGAGAATCTCATATGGTATGTAGAATTCAATGAGGATATCACACCCACTCACCCTGGACAATTTCCAAACTAACTGCTTCTTCCTACTTGCACACCAGCAATATTAAGCAACAAAAACAAAATTAACAAAATGTAGTCAAAATACACAAAACATTTACAATATGATTAGCTGTTTTACATAACTGAATTATCACTGAGTCTCAAGTGACTAATGCTTTAACACATTTACATTTCAGTCAGTTATCGCATTTCCAGAAGTGTATATAACCTGACTGTATGGGAAGAAAATGTCGTCCTTACCTGAAAGGACAAAAACAAATCATATTCGTGGCTTCTAAGTCGTGTGTGCGTGCACGTGTGTGTTTCTGATGCGTGTGCATGTGTGTGATGTACACAGAAGTTAGGAAACTTATCTACCTAAAGTAAAACTGAGGGGAAATAGCCTTTTCCCGGGAGTCACCAATGAATAGAAGATTGTGTAAAGTTCCCTGCACCAATAAACGCTTCAGAAACGATAGAGGGGCCGGCGCTGTGGCGTGGTGGATAAAGCCGCCACTTGCAGTACTGGCGGCCCATATGGGTGCCGGTTCGAGTCCCGGCTGCTCTGCTTCCAATCCAGCTCTCTGCTATGGCCTGGGCTGGGAAAGCAGTGGAAGACAGCCCGAGTCATTGGGCCCCTGCACCCGCGTGGGAGACCCCAAAGAAGCTCCTGGCTCGTGGTTTTGGATGGGCACAGCTCCAGCCGTCGTGGCCATCTGGCGAGTGAACCAGCGGATGGAAGGCCCCTCTCTTCTTTGCCTCCCCTTCTCTCCCTGCGTAACTCTGACTTTCAAACAAATAAATGAATCTTAAAAGAGAGAGAAATGATAGAAATGTTACGATTCAAAGGAGTCTAGCGCATTACCATTGCTCTTTTTGCACTTTCAAGATCTGCTCAAATTTCTCCTTGGTAGCGTTGGGAGAATTATCTGCATTCACTGTGCGCCTTCTTCTCTTTGCCGGAAGGGCCAACTGAACGTCAGCTACATGGAAGATAAATACTCACTGAAACTTAATGTGGAAAAGTACTCTGTACCCATATATCCAAATCAACATGGGAGACGTTGGCTCAGCAGTATTGGAAAGACATCTACAAATCCTAATACGGACACCGTTCCGAAAAGCAAGATTTACTCATCTTCTGTGAACACGTACGGGGCAATGCTAGTATTCCAACTCTAGTTGTTTACGGATGGATCAACTTTTAATTTAGGGACGAGAAAGAAGGAATAATCACGAAAATAGTTCCCGCTTGTGAAAATACGTACAAAGAGTCTCAAAACACGACTTCAAGTTCATGAGAACTTGGTTAAAAGATCAAATTGTTTACACTTATGAGGTACCCTCAAGTTCAAAGGACACCATTATGCAGAATATAGTTAGCGCTAAATGGATAACACACACCAAGCATTTTATGCTTAGCAGCTCCATCAAAATGATAGAAAAATAGTTCAACACACAGTAAGATTGCTTTGAAACCACCAGGTAAATGATTCTTTTAGCTGAAGTTGACCGAGAGAGGCAATGCCTGTGGGCATGCAAGTTCCACGTTCAGCAAATAAATAGGTTCAAGGGTAGAGACTGTCCCCGAGCTTTGAAGAACACATTGGTATCCACTATTACTGTGTTTCTAAAAATTCTCAAACTACACGTAATGCTTCAGTAAGCATCGGATTTTCCCTCGGGAATCTACTGAGTTATTTTCCGTTACTCACAAGGGATCTGCAGGGCCATAAAAATATTCTAAACTTACTCTACCCATCCATACCAATCCATCTCTTGAGCGACTCCTAGAAGAACAGCTTTGTCCACACCAAAAGAACAGAGCGCTCAAAGCATACTTGCACAGGTGAGTTATCTCTACACAGGTGTCCAAAATTGGTTGGGATTCTTTGCTAAGGGTCCTCTCGCTAAAGGCTCTTTGGCGAAGAGCCAGAAATTTACACGTTTTTACCAGTGTGGTCCTCTCAGACAGCTAGCGTAACAGACATTTCACACGGCACTACAAAAATTTATGACTGTTTGGATCCAACTGCACCTCCTCAATAGCTAGAAAAATTATCTGAAATCTCTAATACTCAGTTTGTTGACAGTAAAACTGTGTTCCAGAGGACGCAATTTGTAGGCTACTCCAAAGAAAACATCAGATATCTGTAAAAAACATTAACTATATTAGTAGCATGAGAAATTAACATAGCGCATACTGTATATGTGCTAAAAGGAGATCTCTCCCCCCACCCCCCACTGTCTTTGAATGCATGACATTTCTACCTGGACAAAGCAACAGGGTCACTCTTACTCTTATCATCAGAAGACCGTCAGCAGCGTTCTTGCTTTCCCGCATCAACAATCTAAAAAGCTAAGTAAGGAAACCTGTGAAGCTGAATCACTCACGACACTGACACAGAATCCTACATACGAGGAGACCAGTCCTGTAGTCCAGCGTGCAATGCTGTCTACTATAATGCTTTTTATGGTTTAGGTTGGTTGTTTGCAAGGGCAAATAGCTGAGAAAGCATACCTGTACGTCCTCGTGACACCTTCTGGGCGTCATCCCTGTGGAAAAGCCACATCAGAGATTTAAAACAAAGCTAGATAAAATGGCAGGTGATTTGGAAGACCTCTCATGCCACGTGTTCCTACGGAATAGTTATTAGTGGGGCCAAAGGTCACTGTTCTCAATGTAGCTTAGGTGGCGGGCAAAACACACTTTAAACACATTACCCCACTTCCACTTCCAGCGCAGCTGCTCCAGCAGAAGCAGAGCTGTTCCCGTGGGGATCAATTCCTGGATTGCCGGCTGCGTTGAAATGAGGAGAAACACACTTGGTTAAAGGTGTAGCCAACGCGGAACATTTCTCAGGGAGAACCGTCACTCTCAGGGTGGGGTGTGATTCTCAGCCTCTTGGCCAGCAACCCCTCTGAAGGCAGACCTGCCAGGGGCATTCCTCAGGTGCAGGACGCTGGAATCGGGCCAGGGCCCAAGACCAGGTTACGTTGGCCTTTGTCCCAGGCCATCGGGGTCTGGCGCTCAGAAAGCTCTGCGCTGCACGTCAGACACGTGGGAAGTAAGGACGCGCAGGGCCAGGACAGCGGCCGTGGGAAGCCACTGGCACCCTGCCATGTGGTGGAAGCCTCAAGAGGGAACTGCCAAGTCTGCAAAGCCATTTTTCAGACTCCGGGCTTGGCGCGTCTGCCACGCGGTGGAGGCCAAAGGCAAGACCCGGGGACCGGGGCCGCCCAGTGTGCCACGTGCCAGAGATGAGCCCCGCCCTCCCCTGGGAAGGGCACATCCATAAGAGAAGCTGGGCCCCGGCCCCGCCCACCCTTTACCTTGGTGCCGCAAGTTCCAGGCTTCCAGATGGGAGGGTTTGCTTCGGGTCGCTGAAGCTTCCCGGAAGCGCTTCCTGCTCTCGGGCGCCATGGCGGGCTGCATGCTTCCACGTGCGAGTGAAGGCTCCCGGGCTAAAGGCATGGGGGCAGGGGACAGGAGTTGGGGGCCGTGCCACGGATGCCGCGTCATGGAGGCCAACGGCACCACCGCCTGGCGAACCTCCAGCCTCCTGCTGCGGGCAGGGAGGGAGGCACAGGCAGGGTTGGGCAGGACTGGGCAGGGGACCGCCACTCCCACGCTTCACACCTACCCGCAGTCCCCTGTGCCGCCCTCTTCCCATGGAAAGATCCCGGCTCCAGCACTGGGGCCTGCTGACGCGCCATAGGCAGCCCCCACCCCCAGGAGGCCTTCTGGTGACCCGAATGGCAGGCCCTGACCGTTGGCAGAGCAGTAGGGACACGCACAGACATCCCTGCCTCACCCCGGGTCCACAGACCCACAGCTCCCCCCCCGCCCAACGCCTCCGACACCACCCTCCAAGGACCTCAGGAGTGGTCCAACCCGTGCCTGGAAGCCGCCTGGCGCAAGCCTGGGCCCCAGCCCCAACCCCAACCCCAACCCCAACCCCAACCCCGAACTCGGCCTTTCAAGTCACTGCTCGCCCTCCCTCAGGGTCTCCCTCAGGCCCCGACAAAACACAACGCCAATGGGAGGATGTACCCCCAGACATCTGCCGGTCCGGCCCCACCCGGGAAGCCAATCCAGGTCCCCAAATGGCCGCAGAGCACCGCCCACCCCAGTCACTTGCTGCTGCCGCCTCCCCAGGGGTCTCACAGGCACTGAAGACAGCAAGATCAACGGCGACCCCCTCCGCAATGAGTTCCTCTCACACAGGGTTGGCTCTGGCGGGCTGCGTGCTGATTGGTCAGCACAACGCCTGCGCAAGGCCGTCCCTGCGGAGCCACGCCCCTTCTGCCTCGCGGAAACCCCCTCTGCACGAGGGGGTGACGCTTGGCGTTCTGACGCTGCCGTCGTTTTCCGGCACTTCCTGTTCCTGGACGATGGCGCGGCAATGCCGGCCTCGTGGCCTGCCGCGGACACCGTGCCTAACCCAGCGCCACGGACAGCGGCCCATTCCTGTTCCTACTCCATCCTTTTGAGGTGGGCAACGATTATATTCATCTCTGAACGGGGTTCCTGGGGGTCATGTCTCCTGCCAAGCTAAAAATACTTAGGGGAGACTAGAGACGTGCGCAAATACTAACCAGAGAGTGGTAACGTGCGCAGATACGAAT